TGTATACTTAATGTATGTATACATCGTAAGCTCACCATTATGTTTTTCTCATTTAACAGTGTATTCCATATTTCACTTCCGTAAAAAAGGGCTGTTAAAACAATAGAACTGAGGTATTCTTTATGTTATGTTAGTGTTAGAAAAGACGTTCCGTAACTTGATGAAGACTATCCATCCTGCCTTTTTACTTTTGCATATAACTAGGCTGGTTCTCAAAAGTGATATTATCCATTGTGTGGTATTGACATTTTTTAGTTCTGGCGTGGAAGTGAAGCCTGGAATATCTTATTTGCTGATCTGAAAAAGGTAGATGCGATTCAGTAAGTCATAGAATGACGTATAGTATCTGTCAGTGTGAGTTGCGTCATCACCGGTCAATTACTGAGGTTTGGTTCTGGCGTGGGCGATATTATCAGAGAACTGTGCAGTAGGAAGAAGGGTTGGGCTGGTCATGCGGTAAAAATGGGAAACAAGAGATAAGCAAAGCAGTATTGAAGGGCGCAGGGAGACCACAGCTGTAATGGAGTGACTTGCTTAAATGTACCTATCTGGAATATATGGATGGATGAAGCTCAAAATCGAGAATGAAGAAGCTACCAGTTGTATCAGTGGCGAGAAGAAACGCGCGATAAAACAGTAGCTGGTCAGTGAGTACCAAAGTGTATTTTCGTTTTTTTTAGACAAAAGGACGAACACAGAAAAACAGTAAATTCTCCAGAAAGCGAAAAGCCCAGACCAGTGAAATGCCATCACTCAATTCGCATGAAAATATGATAAACGAATCGCCGGGAGGTGTTATGGAGGTGGTTGGAAAGAGGGAACGAAAAGTTCCATTGAGGCATTTGGATTTCATATCGGAAACTGATGACGAGGAGAGTATGGAGGATGGTATTGAACTGAAGCAATGTGACGGTGCTGACGCGGTAAATGCTTTGCGTTTTTGACTTGAACAAAAAAAAATGAGTTTTTTAGTAACAGGTGTGTGAAGTAGTAACTTTTTAGGTTAGGCTGGAAGGACGAGGATGGGGTGAGCGGCCTAGAACTAA